GCCTTCGACAATCCAATGCATTTTGTCTTAATTTTGAGCAATTCTTGCAAAGGTTGGGCTTTGTTCTCTTTTTGTAAAGAGCACTTGATGGCTTTACGCTTTGCCCACCCTTGCTGGAGGTCGCAGCGGTGTCCAACCTTCGGTCCTTCAGGTGTTTGGGACTTCCATCTCCCAGATTTCCTCATCATTGGACAGAGTTGCGCTACACTCCTGGGAGTTGAGAGGCCCAAACACCTGGGGGGCCAAAGGTTGGACACTACTAATACAGCATCTCCTGGATAGGAAGCAGTTTTATCGTCAGCTACCCAAGTCAATATGTCTGGGATCCCCAAACTACAGCTCATGGGTTGGAGCCGGCATGTCAAGGTATTTTCCCCAGCCCTAAACTAGACTCGCCTCTGAGTTTGTCCCCAGATTTGGACTTTCTTTGGAGCTGGTAAGAATCAGGGTGCCATGGGTTTGTGTATGTTCTTTCCTCTCTCCCCTTGTTTTTGTCGTTGTGCCATAAGTAAGTCGGATTGATTGGATAGCAAAGAAAGTATGGGAGGAAGGAAGAGAACAAGAGAGAGAGGGAGGAAGGAAATAGGAAGAAAGGGGAGGAAGGAAAAGAATGGACGGAAAGGAGGGAGGGAGGAAGGAAGGAAGAAAAGAGAAAGAAAAGAAGGGAAGGAGGGAAGAAGGAAGGAAGGAGGGAGAAGGAAGGAGAGAATGAAGAGGAAAGGCAAGAAAGAGGGAGGGAGAAGAAAGAGAAGAAGGAGGGAGAGGAAGGAAGGAGAGAGAGAGAAGGAGGGGAGGAAGGAAGAGAAGGAATGAAGGAGGGGAGGAAGGAGTAAGAGGAAGAAGTAGGGGAAGAGGTAAGGAAGGGAAGAAGGAGGGAGGAAGGAAGGAAGAAGAGATCAAAGGAGGGGAGGAAGGAAGGGGAGATCAAACGGAGAGGAGATACCAAGGAGGAAAGGGAAGAAGGAAAGAGGAAGGGAGGGAGGAGAGAAGGGAGAAGAATGAGGAGGGAGGAAGAAAGGGAAGAGGAAGAAGGAGGAAGGAAGGAAGAAAAGAGAGGAAGGGAGGAGAATGAAGAAGGGCAGGAAGGAAGAAAACAGTGGAACAAGGGAAGAGAGGAAGGGTGTGAGGGAGGGAGGAAGAAAGGAGTAAGGAAAGAAGGAGGGAGAAAAGAGATCAAAGGAGGAAAGGAAGGAGAGATCAAAGGAGGGGAGATACGAGGGAAGGAAAGAGGAAGGGAGGAGAATGAAGGAGGAGAGGAAGAAAACAGTGGAACAAAGGAGGGGAGGAAGGAAGGAAGGGAGGGAGGGAGGAAGAAGAGAATGAAGGGAGGAAGAATGAAGGAGGGGAGGAAGGAAGGGGAGATCAAAGGAGGGGAGATACAAAGGCAGGAAAAGACGAAGGAAGGGAGAATGATGGAGGGGAGGAAGGAAGAAAAGAGTGGAACAAAAGAGGGGAGGGAGGGAGGGAGGAAGGAAGGAGAGAATGAAGGGAGGAAGAATGAAGGGAGGAAGAAAAGGATAAGAGGAAAGAAGGAGGGGAGGAAGGAACAAAAATTGTAGAGGAGGGATGAAAAAGAAGAGGAGGGATGGTGGAAGGGATAAAGAAAGAAAGAAGTAAGGAAAAGGAAGAAGAGAGACAGAAAAGGAAGAAAGGTAGCTAGGAGAGAAGGAAGAAAAGAAAGAGTGGTAGGGAAGAAACAGAGGGAAGAAATTCAGAATGCATGCCATAGTGGTTTGCACCTCAGACTGGCTCTGAATCCACTGGGTAACTTTAGGTTAGTTCCACTCTCTCAGCCTCAGAAGAAAAGAAAGGCAAATTCCCTTTAAATAATGACAAGAAAACTCTTGATAGACCTTAGGGTCACCCAGAGTCTTAAAGGCACACAACAACAACAAACTGTAGTCTGCCCCTACCCCCCACCCAAACAATCTGAGGAGCCGCGAACTAGCTCTCTGCTTCAAAGGTCTGAGGAGCCCTGCAAGATGCAGATTCTGCAACTGAAGCCTCCAATTTCTTGGCCAGAACCTTCTTCACACCCTTTGAGCCATTGCCTCCCCAAAGCTACACAAAGAGCTGTTCCGACTATTAAGAGAAAACAGCACCCCCTTCTCTGCCTCCCAACTCCCCAAAAACGGAGACCGACTGCGCTTGGTGTCTTTTAATACAAATGTCAACTGATCTGAACAGAGAAAAAAAGAGGTGCTGCTGTAGCAGAAGAAATACGCTTCTGACGTCCGGTGACGATGCATTTGGAGCATAAGTAAACATGGGCAAAGCACAGCAAGCTATATTGGGGGGGGGGGGGGGGGATGGATCCATTGCTCTTGCTTTAGATCTACAGCAGGACTGTGCAAACTTGGGCCCTCCAGGTGTTTTGGACTTCAACTCCCACAATTCCTAACAGCCTACCGGCTGTTAGGAATTGTGGAAGTTGGAGTCCAAAACACCTGGAGGGCCCAAGTTTGCCCATGCGTGGTTTAGTTGAACATGGCTTTAGAGCTTTCAGGGAAAGTGGGGAGAGAGTGAGACCTCAACAGAATGTGCCGTTGTCAGAAAAGCGTTAAAAATGTCCCAGTTTCGCCAAAATGCATGCTTCCAGCTGGGGAGAGCTGGCTTCCTGGCTCAGTGGAACACCCTTCGGAGAATTCGTTGTCCTCCCCAGTCTGATTTTTGCAATACTCACGTTCCAGAGCCCAGAAATAAATACGAGGCGGTCGACGCATCCCGCTTGACTCTCGTTGGCCATCTTTCTTTCTTGAGGACCCAAAGGTGTCCTGTCGGTGGCCGCCAGAGTCGGTCCGCAGAGTCCCGTTCCCAAAAACGCGGAGCTTCACTTGTCCGACTTGCCGTCCTCCTTCTTATCCTGACGCTTCTCGTTGGGCTCGTCCTGGATGATCTCTACCTCCAGCCGGCCAATGTAGAGGGAGACGGCGCAGAGCCAGAACAGGGCCACCGTGGTGACGGCCACGCAGTTGAGGAGCGCCGTGGAAAAGGAGAGCATCATGGTCCGGCGGAGGAGGAAGAGGCTGAGTAGGTAGGAGGCGCTGCCGTAGGAGACGCAGATCCCGCCCAAGATGAAGAAGCCTGGAAGCGAAGGAGAGATCAGCCTTCGGGGAAAGCAGAGGCGCCTCTCAGGGACTGGGTGGGTGTGGCCTGGTTGCCACAGTTTAAATAATCATCGGTGTAGATGGGGCTCAACTTAGACTCTCTCAAAAAGCATTTCAAAAAGTATAATATCACAAAGGACTACCACCTCACCCGCCTCATAGGAAACCTGCTACAAAACAGGAGCTTTTTTGTTGAGTTCCAGGGCCAGAGAAGCAGAAGGCGGAAACAGAAGAACGGCCTGCCTCAGGGGAGCGTGCTCGCTCCATCAATGTTCAACATTTACACAAATGACCAGCTTCTCCCTGAATCTATGTTTCTGGAATGTTAAATTGCCTCTGTGTCTGTCTATATATGTTGTGTGTCTATGGCATTGAATGTTTGCCATGTATATGTACATTGTAATCCGCCCTGAGTCCCCTGCGGGGTGAGAAGGGCGGAATATAAATACTGGAAATAAATAAATAAATAAATAAATAAATAAATAAATAAATATCAGGACACTAGGCTTGTTTGGATGCAGCCTGGGATCACATTGGGCTTTTTTGCTGCTGCATCACACTCTGGACTCATGTTTACTCCTATCTCTTTAAAACAGAAAAATCTGGGATCGGAACCTGGGATATAGGGCCTGTCTGGAAGGGCCCAAAGAAGGAAAATACTGGATTTTCTGAGAATCAAGTGAATGAGAGAAAAATATGTCTAAAATCCAAAAAGAATTCCCCCAAATCCATGGGGAGATGGGAAGAAAACTCATGATATGGAGACATGGCAGCTGCTTAGAGTGGTTTTTGTTACATCTAGTCAAATTACATTCCTGGAGGGACACTGAATCCATCTATCCTGAAACTATTAGCTAAGTTATTATCAAACTATTAGCTAAGTTATTATTTATTTATTTATTTATTATTTACTGTATTTGTATATCGCCTTTCTCAGCCCGTAGGCGACTCAAGGCGGTTAACAGGGTAAAATTCAATGCTCACAATATCATAAACACAATTAAAAACATAACATATATTTTATTTTATTTTATTTTTTGTCATGCCAGGAGCGACTTGAGAAACTGCGAGTCGCTTCTGGTGTGAGAATAATAATAATATATAATAATAATAAATTATATAATAAAAACTAAACATATCAATAAAGTTATTATTAGCTAAGTTACCCTTACAAGGTCCTGGATAGATTGCAATCTGCTCAATAGCTACCTATAACAGGTTTCTAGCCTCCAGCAGCAACAAAACCACAAAGGGATATAGGCAGCCATGTATCTGTATGTTCCTGACAGAAATGTCATTTACATGGCTGTGACAAAACGACTTAACAGCTCCAGAAATAAATATATATTGGACATGTAACATTATAATAATAATATACGGCTGCTATTAAAATAAGCTGCTATTATTATTATTATTATTATTATTATTATTATTATTATTACAAGATTGCAATTAAAATAATACAAGGGCTGCTATTTATTATTATTATTATTATTATACAGCTATTAAAATAATAAAATGACTTATTATTATTGGGCTGCTACTGAAATAATAAAAAGGCTGCTATTTATTATTATTATTATTATTATTATTATTATTATTATTATTATTTGCTGTATTTGTTAGTTTCCATAATCCATAAAGTATCAATATCTCACACTACACTTCTCCTTGGAAATAATAAAATAGAAAGCTCTATTTTTTCTCACAGACAGCCTGCTTCACATCCATATGGATTTTGTCTTCCTTCAAAAACTAAAAATTCTGACTATAATAGAATTATTGCTGCTATAGATATGTTCCTAGTATGAAGAACCATTGCCCCCTGCTGGTCAAGGTCAGAACTGCTGCCTTGATGCCAATGGCTAGATTTAACACAGGCATGGGCAAGCTTTGGCCCTCCAGGTGTTTTGGACTCCAACTCCCACAATTCCTAACAGCCGGTAGGCTGTTAGGAATTGTGGGAGTTGAAGTCCAAAACACCTGGAGGGCCAAAGTTTGCCTATGCCTGCAGAATCAATGCAGATTATTATTATTATTATTATTATTATGATTTGAAACACAACAAGATGAGTCCACAGCAGACACTCTGCTGGCTGTTGAATTGGATCACGCGTCGGACACTTCCCAAGTGTCTAGGACTGTGTGATGTATTGACAGATCCCAGTAAGGTGGCCTTCTGCAGCTGGCAGATAATAATCTTGTCAGCGGCAATTGTTTTTAAGTGCAGGCCAAGGTCTTGAGGCACTGCACCCAGTGTGCCGATCACCACTGGGACCACCTTGACTGGCTTGTGCCAGAGTCTTTGCAGTTCGATCTTTTATTACTATTATTATTATTATATGTTATTATTATTATTATTATTATTATTATTATTATTATTATTATTATTATTATTATTGTATTCTATACCCTTAATTTATTTTATCCTTATTATTCGATCCTTATTATTATTATTATTATTATTATTATTATTATTATGGGGTTCACTGACACAACGCCTTCCTTGCCACTTACCGTAAGCAGCTTCACGTCCCATGTCGCTCTGCACATAGGAGATCACGCCAACGCCGGTCGCCAGCAAGCCGTTCCGGAACCAGGAGAGAAAACCTGGCAGGAAAAAGAGAGAACAAATGGCATTTAACTAGGTAGAGTTCTATCAAATTAAACAAAAGTGTTTTTTTCTTAAATAACTAGCCTATATACCCAGTGTTGGGCTCAGTATTTTTTTCCCCAACTGTATTTATTAGAACTACTTTTGTTTGTTTTTCAGTGACATAAATGAATGACCCGTCGGAATTTAAGGCCCATCAATTCCGGCAGAACCCATTCAACTTTCAAACATTATTATTCTATTAGAATAGAATAATAGAATAACCGTATTGTCATTGTGCATCAATTAATGAAATTTAATGCTATCCCCAAAATTACAAAATAAAGCACTCATCCTTTCACATTCTAATCACTCTTGCACAGCCTCTAATGCCACATCGGTGTGAAACCACAAGAGTTCACGAGTGATAGGATAAAAGCAGTTGCTCTCCTTTGTGAAAAGAAAAATATAAAAAATATAATAATTATATAAAAATATAATAATAATAAGTCAATTCTTTATTGATAATGTTATAATACAATATAATACTAATAATAATACAATATAATAACTATATATATAATAACTATATACATTGTATTATATTATAACATTACTAGCTGTGCCCTGCCACGCGTTGCTGTGGCCTATAGTAAAACTTATCAAAGTTGAGGTAGATATCTGGACTATTATGAAAGAGAGGTACCTACCTATTCCTTCCCCTTTTTCCTCCCCTTTCTTCCTTCTCTAACTCTTTCTTTCTTTCACTACTTGGTTTCATCCTTCTCTCTTTCCTTCATTCCCTCCCCCTTTCTTCCTTTGCCTTTCTTCCCTCCCTGTTTGCTTCCTTCTTTCACTTTTTATTTCCTTTTATTTTACCACCATCATAACAATAACAATAATGCAATGCATTGCCTCTGGGACCTGACACCTCTCCCATTCCCCCTAAAAGGGTCTCATAGGAACAATAGCATAATAATAATAATAATAATAATAATAATAATAATAATAATAATAATAATAGAAATAACAACCTTTACCCGCCATGTGTTGCTGTGGCCAATCTTCCCTCTTTCTCTCCTTCTTTCCCTCCTTCCTTCCTTCCTTCCCTCCCATCTTTCCTTCTCCTCTTCTTTCTCTATCTCTTTCCTTCCTTCCCCCTTTTTCTTTCTTTTCTGCTGTCTCTCTTTTCTTTCCTTCCATCTTTCCTTTTCTTTCCTTTTCTTCTTCCTTCTTTCTCTAACTTTCCTTCCTTCCCCCTTTTTCTTGACCTCCCTTTCTCTTTCTTCCTTCTTTCCTTCCTTCCTGTCTTTCCTAGATTTTGACAGGGCGGGAAGGGGCGGGGTGGGGTTTGGAGGTGGCGTGAAGTAAAAGGAGGTAAGATTGGGGTGGGGGAGTGATGGAGCGTGGGGTTGCGTGTGTGTGTGCGGCGGCGGGGGAGTGGGGTTGCGTGTGTGTGCGGCGGCGGGGGGAGTGATGGAGCGTGGAGTTGTGTGTGTGTGTGCGGCGGCGAGGGGAGTGGGGTTGCGTGTGTGCGTGCGGTGGCGGGGGGAGTGATGGAGCGTGGGGTTGCGTGTGTGTGTGCGGCGGCGGGGGGAGTGGGGTTGCGTGTGTGTGTGCGGCGGCGGGGGGAGTGATGGAGTGTGGGGTTGTGTGTGTATGTGCGGCAGGGGTGTGTGTGTGTGTGCGGGAAGCGGCGCGGCGGGGCTTGGAGTGGGCATGGTTTCCGCAGAGAGAACGTTGGCCGGAAGGGCATGTGCGCGCGCCAGGGAACTTGCGGCTGGGCGCCAATGCGCATGCTCAGTTGTTTTGCCGTTTTGTGAGTGTGTTGTTGTGTTGTTTTTCATTTGAGTAGATATGTTTGTACCTTGTGGGTTGTGTTATGGGCATGGGAATTTTGGTTAAGTTTCGTTGGGGTTTTTTGGAGTTTTGTTTTTTTGCCGTTTTGAGTGTGATGTTGTGTTGTTTTTCATTTTGAGTAATATGTTTGTACCTTGTGGGTTGTGTTATGAGCATGGGAATTGTGGTTAAGTTTCGTTGGTTTTTTTAGAGTTTTATCCTTTTGCCGTTTTGTGAGTGTGTTGTTGTGTTGTTTTTCATTTTGAGTAGATATGTTTGTACCTTGTGGGTTGTGTTATGGGCATGGGAATTTTGGTTAAGTTTCGTTGGGGGATTTTTGCGTTTTGTTGTTTTGCCGTTTTGTGAGTGTGTTGTTGTGTTGTTTTTCATTTTGAGTAGATATGTTTGTACCTTGTGGGTTGTGTTATGGGCACAGGAATTTTGGTTAAGTTTCGTTGGGGGATTTTTGAGTTTTGTTGTTTTGCCGTTTTGTGAGTGTGTTGTTGTGTTGTTTTTCATTTTGAGTAGATATGTTTCTACCTTGTGGGTTGTGTTATGGGCATGGGAATTTTGGTTAAGTTTCGTTGGGGTTTTTGAGTTTTGTTTCCTCGTTGGATGCCCCTAACAAATTTATATATATAGATTGATAATGTTATAATATTTATTATTATTTATTTTTTATTTATTTTGAAGTTTTATATACCGACCCTCTCACCTTCAAAGAGGGATTCGGACCGGTTCACAACATGTGTTAACATACAAAAAATATACAACAACAACAACACAATGCCACTTCATTACACGATTAAAATATCAGCACAATACACATTAAAACATTATCATCCCAGTTAAAAGAGCCAAATCGTTCGACACCATCACAATCCCATTCATCATCCTCCTTTCATGTGGGCATAGAATTAAATCAGTTGTCAAATGCCGCGTTCCACAACCAGGTCTTTGTATATATAATATAATACTAATAATAATACACTATAATAACTATATATTTTATTGTTGAAGGCTTTCATGGCTGGAATCACTGGGTTGTTGTAGGTTTTTTCGGGCTACATGGCCATGGTCTAGAGGCATTCTCTCCTGACGTTTCACCTGCATCTATGGCAAGCATCCTCAGAGGTAGTGAGGTCTGTTGGAACTAGGAAAATGGGTTTATATATCTGTGGAATGACCAGGGTGGGACAAAGGACTCTTGTCTGCTGGAGCCAGGTGTGAATGTTTCAACTGACCACCTTGATTCGCATTTGATGGCCTGGCAGTGCCTGGAGCAAACTTTTGTTGAGAGGTGATTAAAGAGGAAATAAACAACAGAGAGGAAATAAACAAGGACATCTATATATTGTATACACATATAATATTGATAATATTATTATTACATAATACAATATAATACTACTAATAATAATACAATATAATAAGTATATATTTTATATTACATTAATATTACTAATATTACAGTGTAGTGGTATTATTATTATTATTATTATTATTATTATTATTATTACTTTATTTGTACCCTGCTAGCATCTCCCAGGGATTCGATGCGGCTTACAATAGACCGAAGCCCAACACAATACAACAATACAATATCTACCAAAACTAACAAAATGAAGTTCAACAGTGACAAATGTAAGATACTCCACTTTGGCAGAAAAAATGAAATG